GAAAAAAGGTAATTAGTACAAATCTGTAATTAATGAATTTGAATTTTTCACATCATTGCAAATCTGTAATTAGTACAAATCTGAATCAGTGCAAATTAAGAGAAAACACAGAAAAAAGGTAAATGCTGATGACCAAGTTTTCTGCTAATTAATAAATCTGTAACAAGTTCCCCAAAGGGATTAAGCTAGTGTAGGAAACTAATTTTGAGTTTTAAACAGCAAATCACAGAGTAAGTAAATGGTACTCAATCAGAGCCTCGCTTAGCCACACTATTGAAAATCTTTTTGGCTGCAACTTTTAGTTTCTCACTTGTAATTTGCACTGTAGATTCATCTCTACTTCTGGACTCATGAAGCTATTCATCTAAGGTCGACAACACACCTTTCCGAACAATCCGCATCAGCCTCTTCATAGTCCAGGCTGAGATATTGTTCTGAGTAAGCCTCCTCAGGTGATCGAGAGTGCTTCTTCTCCCCTCGGACTTGTTTTTCTTAGGCATGAATATTGAAAACCATGCACGTGGGCTGCTTGTAGTGGCCACTGTCTTGTCATCATCCCCCTCTTGCTCACGTGAAATCCCAGTCGACGGAAGGCCAAACAAAGTTTGAACCACATATTGATCGAATAGGGACTCTGAATCCGATCAAAGAATGTGCTGACATGGAATGACAGAGCTAGGACCTTTATAAGCAATGTCTTTACAAACCTTACAAACATTCCCACGAGCAGACATATCAAGATTCGGGTCACTAGTGCCAGTATTCTGTTTTGCTGTGACCTTCTCATGCCTCGTATTGTACAAGCACTCCCAACCTATGAAGATTAAACTCAACCAAACAAAGCTTTGCAGTGCATTTCTCAGTCCATAGATAAAATAAAGAACCTTCTTTCGCAATAGAAAGTTGCGTTCCACAAAGAGCACTACAATTCTTACCCCCCCCCCCCACCAGAAAGAATTCGTTCAAAGATCACAAGAACATCATAAAGACCCATTTCCATAAGTAAAGGCCAGCAAGAATCATACTTCTTAACACATGAATCTTGAAAGTACAGAAGAGAGCTGTAGTGATAAAGATAAAATTGACCCATTGCACTGTAGTCAAAGGACGACTCAAAAGGTTGGTCTTCTTGCTCAAATCTTCAGGTACGTCCTTATCCATGAAAGGGTCTTCATCTTCCTCGCCTTCACACCCTGACTTCAGGGTCATCCTTTCCGGCTCAGGGGTCTAACAGCCTGGACATCATTTTCCTAGACAAAAGCCCTAAGTTTCAACCAGGAAATGGAGATGCAGAGGTGGTACAATATGCCACAATCTCCTCCTCTCCACCACCAGTGCGCTGCTGGCCGCCGGAATTCGACCTACGGCGTTCCTTCATCACGGTTTTCTCTAGCCTCAGTCATTGTGGCATCGTTGGACAGCTCGGTTTCTATGGAACCTGCATTGATGTTAGCAGTGAAGAACTCGCTAGAATCAGCTAGAGTAGACTTGGACCAAGACGGCGAACAAGATAAGGAAGCCATGTCGGAATTCAACTTCCTTGTCTAGAGAGGATGCTGGAGAGAGAGAGAGAGCTGAGGACGCCGAAGAGAGAGATCTGTAGTGTGGCACCTTTCTGATCTAAACGGAGTTTGGCAGGTGAAAAATTACCTTTTCTCACCCGTATAATTGCTAACGGTGTTAAAGTTGATGTGTAGAAGACTCCAAGAAATCCTGTATAATTGACATTTGATGGCAACCAATAACTGAATAAGCATGGAGTATTACTACTAAGTTTGATTATTGCCTATATGATTTTTAATGTCATTTACTTGTGGTGTTTCATACAATTTGGGTCATTTTCTGTTTATATTTTTTACCTTTTTTTAAATGGATTTGATTCATTATACTCTCATAGTCCCAATTTTGGTTATAATCTTTTTTTTCTCTCATCTCGATAAGTTTTGTTTATTTGCATGTTTTCATTGAGTATTTGATTAAATAAAATATTCTTCTCACCTGTTTTTGACATAATATATACTCCTTCCGTCCCACAATATTTGCCACACTTGCTTTTTTAGCAGCCGCGGAAAATTTTATTTATTTCTATATTTTCTTTGGTTATTTGATAAAATAAAATATTCTTGACACCTCTTATTTCAAAAAACTTTTCATGTAATTTTTTGATATGTAAATTTTATTTTTTATTTCTATACCAATACATAAATAAAATGAATTGAAAAAACTTTATATTTTACCTCGGTAATAGAAGTGTGACAAATATTTAGGGACGGAGGGAGTAGTTTTTATTTCTTATTGATATATCAATTTGTAAATAAAATGATTTCAAAGACGAAAGGTTTACCTTGTAAATCTCAATTTCTAATCAAATTAGGGACGTGGAGAATATTACACTCTCCAACCGAAAACTCTTTTCTCTTTTGAAAATTTATGAAATTTAAGAGATGAATTATTTTAGTTTAAAATTTTTCATAGTTACTCTTGATGTGATACGTATATTAGTAGTGAATGAATATAGTGTAATAGATAAGGTAATAATTAATAGAGTTAAAAATAACTTTTTAATACATAGTTAAATGACTGTTTGGAATAGAAAAAAATTTAAAAGAGGAAAATATTTTAGAGACTGAGGTCATGTTCTTTTTTCACTTGATCTGATTAGTTCTAATCTGATTGGAATAATTTTTTATGTTATTTTAATTGATCTAATTGTAATTTTATTATAAAGCTTTTTTTCAGATCTGATCTTATTTAAATAAGAATAAGTAATAAGTAATACGAATAACTTGATGAGAACATGACCTAAGGGAGTATAAAAATATCAAAGTAACATCAAAATACTTTTTTTTTAATTGAAAAGCACTTCTAATTTATCTTTACAAGTTTATTTATCATTTCAAATTTTGGTTGGTTTATGGTCATTTTTTTATTCATAAATTGGTTGGTGCAATTGGAGAGCATGTTGGGATTCATTAGGCATGAACCATATATGAGGGTTTACCGGGCTGTTAGGAGCAGAATAATCAATTTTACGATCTGAGTATTATAAGTTTCCCAATAATGAATAATTGGAGGGGGAGCGGGAAAGCATTAGGCATGTACTCGATATGAGGGGTTTATCCCGCGGGGGGGGGGGGGGGGGGGG